CTTGGATTCTCCCAGTGCTGAATTTAAGACCCCAAAATGCTTCAAGTTTTACCATCTTAAACTCACTATTTATCTTGAGGCTGATTTAATTAAAATATTATATACTCTAGGGCATATTAAACATGGCAATTTATTGTAATTCTTATTAATGGAGTGTATTTAATGAGTTTTCAGAACCGACTCCTGCCCCTACAACACACAATGCTGGTTTTTATTGGGTACATAGAGGGAGACATGCAGATGGTCTGATTTTCAGGAGGTGCCCGGCACTGACAGCTGCCCTTGGCTCCTGTTGTATTCAGGCAGGAGAAACGCTGGTGCTCAGCACCTTTGCAGCTTGGCAAGCATGGGATAATTCCTCCCTTCCCTCTCTGCTTCAATTTCCACAGAAGTGTGCTGGACTTGAGCGTAAAATAATGCCAGATTCTGCTTGTAGCTTCAGCTTTTTGCATTGTTAGAGTTCTAGCAAGTATTTCTTAGTTCTTATTCATGTTGTTCATTGATGGTGTCTGCCACAAGGTGTGACAGTACATAAGCACAGTTATTAGCTGTCTCTCTTGAAATGTCTGTACTGCCTAGTTAGCATCTCTTCCCAGAATTGTTAGCTTCTTTATTTTTCCCTTTTTACTTTAATGGGTGTTAGATGTTTGCTAGTTACTTATGGCTGCTCTAAGCTTCGTGTTACTCATTAAAAAGTACAACTCTCTTCTGAAAGCAATTGGGAAAATAAAGGTATAAGGTGCAATTTTAAGATTAATATTAGCCTGACCATGACCAAGAAATCACACAGCTTGAGAGGAATTTCAGTATTATTGTTATACTCTTAATGTGGGGTGGCAGAGCCTTTAAATATTTCTGGTAGGGTAGTTAATACAGCATGGAAGTTTGATATTTGTACAGTTTGTAAAGGAATTTGAGGTGTTACCCTATTTTGACTTCAGTTTTCAAGTATGCACTGGTGCATCATTAATCATAGGAAATGCAAAAATAAATAATATAGTCCCTTTGGATTTTTCATGTGAATACTTACCTTTTCCTTTTTTTGTATATACAGTTGAGGTATTTAGGTAACCCCTAACCTTTTGCTTCAACAAGGAGGTACAGTATAAAAATATTACCACAGTCTTCATATGAGCAGTTCTCTCTAAGAAAACCTCTAGATGAATATTTATTGAAAAAAAGCAAAGTTGCAACACAGAATGACTTAGCTTGGCCTGAATATTATATTTTAGACCACCAGTGAATAAAATTAAAAGCACATGGATTTTGAATAACTAGAAAAGGTTGTAATTGATTAGCACTGCATGAAAGTATTGAAGTGGAGTGAGTTTTGATTTGTGAATGGTCCTATTCAATAGAGATTAATCCTGTATGTTTGATAAAATCTTAGTGCCCCTAATGAGATAGGATTTTTTTCCTCTCCCAGTTTATTTAACCACCAGATACTCTGATATTCTCCTAACAAACTGCAGCATTTTGATCTTACTGAATTTTACATTGATGTAGGTGATTTAAACAATATTGGCTATTAATAGTTCATTTGAGGCAGCTAATTAAACAGATCAGTGCATTTTACTGCCTACAGACCTTGTAAGTGATGAAGAGCAATCCTGCAGGATTTGGGGCTTTCAGATAACGGCAGCCTCTGTGCGAAGCTGCAGCTTTTTTAGTGCACGTGAGAATACTCATTCCTGCATAGTTTTCAGTATTATTATATTTTTTTTTTTAATCCTGGTATTTTAAATTATATTTTATGCAAAGAGAAGTGGTTCCTGAGATTTTGCTTAGCATTCACAATAGTGTGAATACGTTAAACAGGCTGGAACATACAGAAAACTGCTTTCTATACAGAGGTAATCAAAAAGGATTTGTTCCTCTCTTATCAGTCTCCTGATTAAAATGAAACAAACCCTTTAAGATTCCCTACCAAACAGTAAAGCAGATGAGAATTGAAATTTACAAAAGGTTTGGCATTTTTTGATGAAGAAGATATTGAGGAGTATTTTAATATAAGCGGAACTGGAAGACTTCAGATTTAGTCTATCTCCCTTGGGTTCAGCTTCCAGAAATTACGTGTGAAATACCTGATTGAATTATCAGCTAAACTGGGATCCTATTTCCTTCTTTCATTTGATTCTTCATCTGAAGATGCACAGAATATAGTTGAAGATGCCTTTTCCTATTTTAAAATTGTAATTGTTTTTGGAGGCATTTAAGAAGGTGTTCAGTCTGAAATACTTTGAGTAAACAATGTTTTCCAAATTTTATACCAAATATGCTGTTTGATTTTTTCTTTTTTTTTTTTTTTTTTTTTTTTTGGCATAGTGTTTATTTTGAGCCTATTTTCCCCTTCAAATGTTATGGATGTAACTATAATAGCATTTGCTGGTTGAAATGAATCCCGTTTGATTTAAAAGCCTGAGAAGGTTTACACAGGCTCGATGCAGTCAAAACCTGTGTATGAGTGGCACAAGGTGGAGAAAATCTGGATGTGAAACGCAGACTATAGTTAATTAAAATGTGCTAAATTGGAAAGGAATATATGTGTTTGCATGAACTAGGAAAGGATTCTTCCACTTTGCTACTTGTGTTTCTCCCTTTCATATGAAGTCCAAAAGACATAGACAAAAATGAGTGGAATAAAAGCTTTCAGGAATATGGTTAATAGCACAGATTAGCAACCATGCGGGTTAATCATAGCTCCGTTTTCCTGCCCTGTTATGACTTGTCATTATGTTTCATTAGTTCAGTCTTGAAGAGAAACAATTAAACTCAACAGTCCTGAAAGGAATAAGGTAGAGATGGGAAGAGAAGGACAGCACGGAAAGGAAGAACAGATCGTGCATTCTGAGGTGCTGCTGCATCACTGAACGGCAAATTCATGAGCAGCTTGGGTATTCTGGCTTTTTTTTAAACAATAAATTCTGCCTCCTTTTTATAAAAGTGGGTTTTCCAAAATTTGGTTTTAGCGCAGGTTACACTGCTTACACATTGATAGAGCTGATGAGATTTTGTAGTCCCTTGCATCTATTGTTTGTGTCCAAAGTGAAATTCAGGTATCCAACCCTATTTAGTGAAGTTCAGGAAAAGTATTAAGCACAGTATCACAGTACTTCCCAGTGGCTTTAGGAATTATCAGAAGTAGGTGAATTAAGCAGTCAGACTTGGTGTTTTGATAATTTTAGCCAACTAAATTTCTTCTAATCTCTTTTGGAAGTAAAAGCAAAAGAAAGTCCCTATACATGTAAACTGTATTTCCTGTTGTAAACACTGGGATAATGTGGTCTGGCTACACTTCTGCTGTGCTTTGCTCAGACACCAGTTTGGGTAGAAAAGCTGCTTTGCCGGGTCTGTGTTTGCATTTCAGCTCAATGTTCAGGGTATTAGAGCTGCATGACCAGCCACAGGTTATATTATCTCATCTGGTATCTATAGGTCATATATTAAATTGGTCACCCTCCTGTAAAAAGCAATTTCTTCATATCTGTTCCTATACCCAGCCCCAGAGCTTCTTCGTGTGTTAACTGGGAACCAGTCAAAGCGTGTGAAGTAGGAGGGGTAAAAGGCACCCCAGTCACTACAATAATGGGGATGTATGTATTGGAAATGCTTCTAGCATTGTTGTTTTTCATAGAAGGGGGGCAAGGGAGGGAAAGAAATAGGCTTAGCTACGGTCCCAACATAATTTCAACATGACCGACACCATTAAGAAAATCTTGTAAGTTTTCACTTTTTTTTTTTCCTGAAGCTTTCAGAATTTTCAGTTCATCTGTCTGAACTGCCTCAGTAAAAGATGCTTTGAAAAAATTTTCTTACTGTACTTCTTGCAGTTCATCAAGTGTGATGATAATAAAGCATTTTCCAGTACACTTTAAAATATAACTTCATTTTACTTGCAGATAAATCAGTTAAAGTCTTATTTGATTCTATTTAGTATTTGTGAGTGAGATGCTCTCTACTGATTTTAAGTCTCTGAGAGGATGAAGCTTTTCAAAGTAAGCAAAGATAGAGGTGCAATTTTATAGTGTATTTATGAGTTTTATGAGCATTTATATGTACAGTGCATATAAATAATTACTTCGGTATATACATATATGATTTCTTAAAGGAATCTGTGTTTACAGTTCAGAATATTGAAGTAAATATTTGGCAGTGCTCGTCTACAGAATTTTTTACATCCCACTTTGAATTAAACTTAAAATTCAGCAGCATGTTAGATCATGTATTTTTTATTTCGTAGTTTAATATTTTCATGCATGAATGTTTTGCCTTGTTCATAATTAGTGTAATGAGAAGAATTTGCTTTTACAATTGAATATATTATCAAACAACTTTGCTGTGAAATGAGGGCAACTGAGGACTAGAAAACTGCAGATTTACACAGATAACTTCATCTGAGATATATGCATAAAAATAAGATGCCTGGAACAATGATAGGGCAGTTTTAGGTAGGATAGGCTGCAGTATGCTACATGCTACTCATTTTCATCAGGTTTAGAGAGCAAGCAGTCTGAACTCTGTGATTTAAGTCTTTTACAATATCTTTCATTAACTACTCATAGTGGATATATCTAAAAGTGTCAGCAGAGTTCTTAATGAGATTTCTGAGCTGCTGTTAATGAACTCACTAATTACTTTATCTTTTGCCTGAAGATAATATTAAACATTTTGCTAGATCCCATTGGGCTCTGTCAAATTTCGTGCAGCTACACCTTGGCTCCGGTGACAGCTGAGCACACCTGCTGTCAAACACTAGGGACTGAGCCACCAACTTCCCTTTGCTCAGCTTGCCAGCTAACAAATTTGTTCTTATATCTGCAGAAGCTATTTACAGTTACTTCCCCCTCCAAAAAAAACCACCCAAAACAACCAGGTATACTATCTCAACATTCTAACATCCCATTCAGCATTTTTTTGCTTAGATAACCACAACCAGTATTGTTCAAAGTAAGAAAACTCTCAAAAGCGAAAAACAGAAGCTCAAATATTGCAGCACTTACCCCAAAAGAAGTTTTGCTGACATGGTGTCACTGAACTGAACAGGCTGTTTGATGCCATAGTCCCTCTCGGTTCACGCAGAGCTTTCACCTTCTGGTGCAAATACTTCTTGGATCCTCAAACTGCAAACACAAACCATAGCCAAACCTTGTTTTAGTTTTACTGTGTCCCTGGATTGCATAGACTCTACAGTTAGTTTTTTCTCTGTCAAAAAATTGTGTAGAGCTGGTAACATGTGAAAAGGAAGGCAACAAAACAAAAAAAAGGAGAATGAGCAAATATTTGAAGGACCTACTATTACTGCATAGACTGTGGTTAGAGAGCACTTACTGACTCTGTTGGTCTCAGTGGCTGGTAGTGACCTGCGGAGATTAACCATTTAAAAACCAGAGACTCCTTTCTGTCCTCCTGGAGAAAGTTTGCACCGCACTTGTGGTTCTGTGGTTGTTTGTGAGGCGAATGAAGCATTCACACAATCCAAAAAAGCAAAAGCTTTAAAACTCCTTTTTTTTGCAAGCACTGTTACTGGAGCGAGCGAGTCATGTGGCTGTGACATCAGAGGACTCCAAGTAGGACTGCCTACACTGTGGCTTTTTCTTTCTCTCTCTCCTCTTTTTTTTTTTCCTTTTCTTTTTCTTTTTTTTTTTTTTTTCCTTTTTTTTTTTTTTTTTTTTTTTTTTTTTTTTTTTTTTTAATATTTTGACAAAAGGCCCATGTAAGGACCTTCCTGGCATTCAGAGGGACATAGCTTTTTAATTTTTGCAACTCATGAGGCTTTGGAGAGAGTACAAAATGCTGTAAGAGCCCAAACGTCTGTACAGTTAAAGCATATGGACAGCAGAACTTTATTTGTACTCTCAGTTCAGGTTCCCCCCACTCTTCTTCCCCCTCCTTTTTTTTTTTTCTTTTTTTTTTTTTTCTCCTCCCATTCCCTCTCCCTCCTTTATTATTGTGTCTGTGGAAAACTGAGCAAAATTGGCACAAGTGGCTGTGTGAAATTCTGAACAACAGTGATGATTTACAATAATTTACATCTTTGGATTGTATCACGATCTTGGGTCTGCTTTACATTTGCTGGGTGGCTGGATTCCTTCTGTTTTACTTTTTCTCCTTGTCGTCTTATACTTGTGAATCTGTAACTCATTGTAAGAAACTTTACCTTTCCTAAGGTCTAGTAGCAGGCTGCTTGTTGGGGTTGTGTTTTTCACTGTAATTGGCTGTCACAGAAGTGTTAGTCTGGGGATTCCTTTGCAAATCTTAAATCATGTCTGCCTTGCTTTGCATGCCTTCAAAACTACTTGGCAGTTTTATGTGATGCAAATTAAGGGCAATTATGTTTCTTTTATATTTGGGGCAAAATATGTCATTTGGATATCATAACTGGTTGTGTGCTGCAGCCATGCGAGTGATGCTTGGGAACACCGGCATTGGGAGGATTTAACGTGGACGTTGTGTAACAGAGTGAGCTGGGAGGGTTTGGTTGTGCTTACATTAATTCCTTATTGTAGTTCTGGTGTTTAAGGGAAATAGAACAGTCTTAAACTTTTGGGGAGACTATAAATAACTTCATTCACCAGTTAATGTTAACACTTAGTTTTAAAATGAAACATAAATTTGATGCATATGTAAGACTCAAATGCTTAATATCATCTGTGTACATGTGTGTGTGATACTTTTTAATATACTTAACGTATTGTAACTTTGACTTTGATTGTGTAACATAAGCCCTGACTGTACCAGTACGGAGGGGGTTAACAAAAGCAGTATTTTTTTGTTTATAATAGAGGCTTTGAAATAAATTGCAAAATGCTGTGTGTAGTAAGGAATAATGTGCACAGACAGTGTGTATTAGTAGTCTTGATTTGCTCACTCAGATTCAGAACAAAATTGGAAACATCTTTGAGAAAGTATCTCATTTTTTGCCTCTTTGGACATTATATCTAGAACTTTTCATATTATCCTGATTGTACCACAGATGCACTGTAATTTTAAGTTTTGGCTGAATGAATTTAATTCTTTTTCCTTTTTTTTGGTCATTTTTTGGGGGGAGTAGAAGAACCACGTAAAACATAGATATTGTTTGGCTTTTATTTGTAAAATAAAATACATCTCTTTGATGCTGCCATCCCTCCTTTTTTTGTTTTTCTCTTTGTCCTGAGCTTTCTTGGTTAGAAATTGGCCAGGAATCGTGTGATATGAATAGCTGGAGGTGTGGGTGGAAACCAGGTTCTCTGTTTTTTGGGGATGAGACAAATGAGAAGATTTTTCAGTAAAAAATAGCCTGCTTTGATTTTTGTTACAGAATTATAAAAATCATAGACCTTTCTTCATAAAAACTTTTCATAATAATTATTGTGAGATAAATTGTATTGTACTTCATTCAGTACTTTGAGAGTTATTACATGTTGCCAAACTTAGAGAATTCTACCATAAAATGAAAAAGGAATGTTCTACAAAAAACCCCATTCCACTTAAAAATAAGGGTGATATTTAATTCTTCTATTTATTAATTGCTTTTATTATTGTTTGCTTTGTATGGTTAGGAGCAACAATTGAAAAAATCTTAAGACCATAAAAATAATGGAAAAGTACTAATCTTTTCATACACAAATTATATTTGTATGCATTAAAGTTTTAATCAGCTTAGGATGCAGCAAAAGCTTTTGGAAGTTGCTGCCTCTTATTTGGGGAACTCTTAAATTTTACGTTTGGAGTTTTCAACGACAGTTACACATTGAAGGTATTGATGAACTCCTATTTGATGGTAGGTATGCACAGTATTTTTAAATAATAGGAAACTGTTGTCTTGACCTTAAATACTTATTTCCATTGCTATAAAAAAAAAAGTTGTTTGATTTTCAAAACTCTGCCCTTTATTTTTAGTCATATCCTTAGTATTAGAATATTGAGCTTCCTACAGAAGTCTGAATATGAAAATTTATTGCATTGAAATGCTGTTCTCATGCTTTCTCCAGAATGGCTTTTTCATGCTTTCACTTGTGTATGCAGAGTTATTCTCTAACTTTGTTGCTGTGCTTTGATCTGATACCTTAAAGATTTTTTTTTTTTACATTTTCACCTGTTCATATCAAGAGCACTACAAAGAAGACTTCATCTAATAAAGCAAAAGCCATTAAAAACAAAAAAGCATATACTGTAACTGAGTAATCTAGATGTAGTTTGTAAAAACTGTCACTGATAAAAATGCAGGGTTTTTTTAATATAGAAACATTATAAAGCAAAACTGAGACCAAATACCTGTGAAACTGGTGGTTTCTTTTGGTATAGTTTGCACTTCTGATGACGCAGATGCAAGAATCCTGAAAATCCACTGTGTAAATCAGTGTCTTGATTGTAGACTAATGCTTGACAGGCTCTTGTTTAAAGGTAGCTCTACAAAAATGGAAGTTCACTTCTGAGTTCCACAGGGGATGCTTTGAGTCCCAATTACACTTACAAAGGAAGTATTATGCTAAGGAATTTCTCTGGTAAACTTTGAGCTTGATCTTTGATGACAAATGAAATCTAAAAGTCAATTGTAAGGCAACACTAAAAGATAATTACATCTTCCACTGTTCTTTAGACGTGTTTTGGAACTTTTAAGCTATGCTCTATTTCCAAACATTTTGCCTTATGTCACTCAAAAGTTCATCCAGTGTATAAACAGTGTGATGCCCTGCTGAAAGTTTATTTGTACTTAAATGTTTGCTTCTATGCTACAACTGGAATGATATAAATACTCCGCTTAGAGCAGTGTGATGACAATTGTTAGATTGCATTTCATAACAGGTTTTACAATATATACAATAACAAGATGCTGATTTTTATAATTCAGGAAGTCCTGGTGCAGTTTCCTCAGATGCAGGTATTCACTGTAGGTGTTGTTAACATATCTGTTTCCACTACAGCAGTTTTTTTTTTTTCGTTAAGTGAAACCTCTTTCCTTGGCTGTGTTTTTCAAACTGAGGAGTATTAATTTTTAGAGGAAGAAAATTGTGTTTTCTGTAGGTTCACAGCCAGTACATTTAAAATAATGTTTGTTTTTAAATACTTGCACATTTTCGGAAACTTCTGTTGTTAGACTTGGGTATTTTGTAGACTTCTCATTTCCATCACGTCTGCAAGAGTAGTAGAGTATGTTGATACCACTTTATACTAACCTTTTAAAGCAAAGACTAAAACTTCCAGTTGATTAAAAAAATTGCAACAGCAAGGATATTTCAGCATTCCTTCATTTTAAAATGGCACTTATTGCAAGAGTAGCTGTGAGCATCTGAGTGTTACTGCTGCCTTTCTCTGCCTCAGAACCTTTCTCTAGGTAAGATATGGTTTGAAGTGGATGGTGCCTGTGACCATTGATGTAGAGGGGGGAAAAGTAATGTTACCTTTCTAGGGTATAACAGTGTTGTCTGTTTATTCTGCAGGGCAGTCAGGCTACTGAAGATCACATTAAACCTTAAACTGAACTGTTGTTTAAATTAAAAAGATGGTCATCTCTTAACCAGTGAGTACATCATGGAATAGCAAGTAGTCAAAAATTTTCATCCACTTTGTGTTTCCACTTCTCTCACTTCTTCATATCATAGCGAAGTTATTCTCCAGTGAAATAATCTAACTCCTGATCAGGCTTTGAGTAAGGGGCTGTGATTTAATGATCAGATGTGTCTGATTCTTCCTGCTCAGACATTTTTTTTTGACAAGCATTATTTTCCTTGTGTTCCTAGATCTTGTAGACTGTACAGCAACTGAGAAAAACGTCCTTTTGATTAGATGCACCCATTCTAAACAGTCAATACATGGTGTTTAAGATCATCCTAACCTCCTAGTTATTTTCTCCTGTCTGTATTTTTTCTTTTTTTTTAAAAGTCAACTTGCAGAAAATATGGGAAACTTGTCTCATATAACAGCTGAGGATGTGGCTAGGTTAAGGCAGGAAACTGCTACCCACAATGCAATGTTACATACACTACCACTTAATAAAATTTATTTCAAACATGCTACTGACAAAACCAAAGAAAAATAATATCCTAACTATGCTAGTTAGTACACTAAATATATCTAGGGAAAAGTGAAAGTAATCTCTCTAGAGCCTTTCCTGCTTCTAGGATACAATGCTACTAGTAGTTAAACCAGAGCAGATCTCAGCAGCTAAAAGCAGTGACCTATTTTTAGAAAATATTAATGTTTCTCTGGAAATTAATGTTTCTGTGCCTTCTAGTAACAGTCAAAGTTTTAATGCAAGCAGAATTCAGATAAATTCTCTTCTTAGTTTTTCTTGTTGGCAAAATATCCCCTTAGGTCATTTTAAAACTTGCAACTTTTCGTGCTTCATCCCATTTTCACTGAATCTTACATTTATTGTGGCCAAGCAGCGTTTTACCTCTCCTTGCCACTTTTCATCTCTTTGTAGGTTGGTATGAAAATTTTCCATGTCCTACATGGGAAAGGAACTGAAAAGAGGAAAATTC